GCCTCGGAAACAGCGTCAGCATGAATGTTGCAGTAAAGCCAATCGACAGCTGGTCAAGAGGAATCCGCCAAACTAAGCTTCGAATCTCTTCACGCAACACTTTCACTCGAACTGGAAGTAAGCTCAACAATTATGAAAAAAACCAACTTTTCTTCGCATACCATTCTTACCACAATCCTCAACCTAATGAGTCAAGAAGACTCCAAATTGCTTTTACTCGAATTGGAATTAAGCTCAACAATTACAACTCAACAGATTCGTAACAACCAGACTTTTCTTGGCATTCGACATCTGCTGCCTTCTAGACTTTGCCAGGCCCCGAGACAGAAACAATGTATTGAAATTGAGAAAACAATGTAACTAACTACTATGCACAGTTTATGAGTAACTTGGGTTCAATTGAAAATGAATATTTATCCAAAGTGAAGCAAGTTGGACTGTGCGACGATACATTTAAGCTTGGCATCCCGCTGGGCACGTTGATGAATTTGCAATTGGTACGGCATAAACGGGTTAAGCAGACAATGCATTTCAGATTAGGGCACATCATCGTCTGGTCTGGACAATGTGGCCTGTAGCTGGTGGCCAAGAGATGCTTTTAGCGCTGCTGGTCAGACGAGATGGTGACTTTAACCTACATCGTGGCTGTCTTGTTGCTTTTCTTGTCGTCAAGGTGAACGGGGTCTTCCATCGCGACGAGATGGACGAAATCCTCGGCACATTGGCCGGCACCTATCACCGAGAATTCCCCAAGTTGCCCTTCGAGACGGAGCATGTGGCCGACTACTACGTGGATCGGGTGAAGCGAAACATGCACATTGTGCTCTGCTTCTCGCCGGTCGGCGAAAAGTTTCGCCAACGAGCCCTCAGTTTTCCTGGCCTCATCGCCGGCTGCACCATAGACTGGTTCCATTCGTGGCCTCGTGAGGCTCTCGTGGCCGTGGGTCAACATGTCTTGGCCGACTTTCCGCCCTGTCAGTTGGGCGAGCCGCAAATGGCCGCCAGTTGCGTGCAGGCCGTGGCCAGCATGCACAATCGGGTCGTCGAGGTCTGCAAACTCTTCATGCAGCAGTACCGACGCAGTTACCACGTCACTCCCAAGTCATACCTCTTCTTTCTCTCCGGCTGCAAAGAGGTCAGTTTACCCAGTCTCGGGTAGCTAAACGTCTCTTAGGACCAACACTAGAATACAAACGACAACATTGGCGATACTAATATCACTACTATTACTACTACTACTATTATTAT